ATGGAAAGCACCCATTTTTGATTGAGTTTTGACCAGTGGGTGCTGGGACTGTCCTCGAAGGAAGACAGAGTCCGCATTGGTCGACATGCTTGATCGAGTTTTGACCAGTGAGTGCTGGGACTGTCCCCGAAAGACAGAGTCCGCATTGGTCAACGTTCTTGATCATATTTCGACTAGTGGGTGCTGAGATTGTCCTTGAAGGAAGACAGAGTCCGCATTGGTCGACATTCTTAATCGAATTGGGACCTGTGGGTGCTGGGACTGTCCTCGAAGGAAGACAGAGTCCGCATTGGTCGACGTCCTTGATCGCGTTTTGACCAGTGGGTGCTGGGACTGTCCTCGAAAGACAGAGTTTGCATTGGTCGACGCACTTGATCATATTTCGACTAGTGGGTGCTGGGACTGTCCTCGAAAGAAGACAGAGTCCGCATTGGTCGACATTCTTGATCGAGTTTTGACCAGTGGGTGCTGGGACTGTCCTCGAAGGAAGACAGAGTCCGCATTGGTCGACGTCCTTGATCGCGTTTTGACCAGTGGGTGCTGGAACTGTCCTCGAAAGACAGAGTCCGCATTGGTCAACGTTCTTGATCATATTTCGACTAGTGGGTGCTGAGATTGTCCTTGAAGGAAGACAGAGTCCGCATTGGTCGACATTCTTAATCGAGTTTGGACCTGTGGGTGCTGGGACTGTTTTCGGAGGAAGCAGAGTCCGCATTGGTCGACATGCTTGATTGAGTTTCGACCAGTGGGTGCTGGGACTGTCTTCAAAAGAAGTATTACGTGTCAGAGGTCACGAACGAAATAAATTGCGACGCGATCCCCAAAACAATAACAAGAGTTGATCACGGATCGCTATTTGCGTTGTTCACGCGCGATACGCTTAGTTCCAACCTTCCTTGCGTTTCTCGGCCACAAGGCAAGTCGGTTGCTCTCTTTTCGAGATTACCTGCTGGGCCGACAATATCTCAGGATGAGAGCTAAGGTCAATTATCGCAAAGCAGCCTCCTAGCAGCGGTAGCTGAGGTGTCTAGGACCAAGATGTGGATAGCGGGAATTGGATTAATTGGTTGTTATAAATTAACAGAGAAAAATTTTAAATACAAAATTTATTACAATTTATTTTACATATAAGTTCATCATTTATTTGTCCGAAGCTTTCTTATTACCCTGGTAGCAAGCTGACGTCAAAATGACGTAGCTTGCTACCAGGGTAAGCCTGGGTAGGCTCAACTTGGGAGATTCTGATAGAAGTATCGATAAAAATCATTGATAATATATTCTTAAGTATCTCGCTTTAGGTCATAACAATTGAATGGTGTTACGGCTTATTGACTTACAGTACCTTAGGGTCGCTTCGCGATGTCGATTCTGACACAACGATAAGTTAATCGCTAATTTGACAAATTGAAGTAGGAATCCGTTTTTAAAAATGGGGATTTATTAACCGATAAAACATCAGTAGCGCGAGAGATCGATTGTCGATTCGCGTATCCCTTGATAAGAATTACGTTAGGCACGCGTTTGCGAGATAATCACTATGGTCGACTCGAAATCGTTCCACGGTCGCTCGCCCGTTCCGACCAGATAAAGAACAAACCGCGCGCGCACCCGAGAGTAGGTTTCGCAACTCGCAACTGGTTGACTGGTGTTACGTATATGGTTACTATTATTATGCGGTCCAATTCGCGCGAATTTCCCCAACCGCTCCTACGAATGGATGCTCTGTTCGACGCGAACTTGCGATATTATTACGATCGTAGACTCTGTGTCATGTCACGGCCGCTCACCCGTCCCGATTAGATAGAGGACGAATCGCGCGCGATCCTTCTTACGCTTGAAACGAATCAACGACACGATGGGAAACTCCATGCGGTTGCAGCGTGGTGACGCGCTGGAAAGATGCCATGGCACGGATAGATTGGCCCCAAGCCTCACATGGCCGAGAATTTCAGACAACGCGGTTGAGTGCCAACGCGTCAGATGACTTACCCTTACAATCCTCCGATTAGATGGCGTGATTCCGCCAATTCTGAGATTCTCACCCGGCGACGGTGTGATTTCCACAGCTCTCAGATCCCACGTGGCGATCGGCGTGAGTAATGAGATGTAATATATGTTCTGGATCACTTGGTGTCAGGCGGGCGACGGGGACCAGAGGGAAAAATGGGTAAGGGGGAGGTGAGCGAACCGGTAGGTTCGCCAGCACCACTCACCGTCCAGAATATACATTTTTGTATCAAGTGTACTTTGTAGAGAAGCAAAAAATTCAAAATGCTTATCTAATACCCCATCCCCGCTTCTTCCTCCGCAACCGCTACCTCCACCATTTAATTACCCTCCAACAATTTATGTCACCTTATCATCCTCTGCTGTTGTTATATTAAGGTATCTTGCAAGGAACTGATATAATTCCTCCTCATTAGGTATATTGAAGAAATCGAGTATGAACTCGATTAATTCATTAGATGTACATGATTCAAAATCAAAAACTGGGTGATTCTCGCCGAGCTCATGCTCGCCGAGCTCATCCTCGACTTCCTCCTCCTCTTCTGTGGAAGTATCCTCATTGATGAAAATATTTTGAAATGTTTTTACGAAAGAGACATCCTTGTCCCCTTCGATATTATTTTCGTCAAAATTATATGGCACTTTAACTTTCATTTTATCCCCGCACTAAACTGTTCACTGCACTATACTCGTAAATGAATGTACTGACTGGCTGCTGGTTTTCACTGAGATTATATAGTGAAAGTTATTGCAAATCATTTCCTTTTTCCTTAAAAGTGTTTTATGTGTTATTATAATATTTTTCTTTAAACATGATATACATGTTGTGCAAATATCTTGTGAGAATATCTGAAGTGTATTGCACATTTTTATCGTTCAAATATTGATAGTGATACATGTCTGATATTGCGAGAACATCGAATTTGATATATGTATACACGTTGTGAGAATATCTCAAGTAATATAAATTAAAATGTTTTTATGCTTTTTAAATAAATCCTAAATCGTAAGGATAAATTTTTATACTTTATCATTAATTATCTAATTTGTGGGAGAAAGGATAGGTTAAAAATTATATTTGTACATATAATAATTGTTTATTATAATAAAAATGATATACATAGGTTAGCGCCCTCCGAAGACCAGAGCGATTAATTCACATTGGATTATATCATTGCGGTTGAAGGATTCGTCATCGTACATTGTTTTCAGTATATTCGCAGGTTCCGTGATAGTGGACGCGATATCGAAAAGTCGCGATAATTTTTTGTCAACGTTATTGGTAATTGAATTTAACGAGGAAATAAGACGATTTACACAATATTCCAGATTAAACATATTGAGCACGATGTTTTTCGACGTGGATAGGCGAGTCGTGGGCGCTTCCAAACGTAATATCGGTAGATTATTAATTCGTCCGAAACGTAACGTTAGATTTCCAATATACATTGGAGACGGAGGACATATCCCTTTGGTCTCATCGTACTGCAAAAGAGACAGTATTATATGTTTCTGCTCGAGAAGTTCTCTCCAGATATCGGGTGAGAGTGGAATTTCCTTCCCATGACAATCTCCAAGAATAATGCTTATAGAGGAAGGTAGCTTGGCCTCGATACCAATGTTTAAATATTTATAGCCAGTTAGTGTTAAAGGATATTTTCTTTCAAGAATTCGAACGATCGGATAACGGGTAATTTGATATCTGTAATTTTAAAGAAAGTATGAGATATAAAATAGACATTAAAAAAAGGAAAAAATTATTTACGTATTTGATTGTTCTTTATTTGGATTTTCTCCATCGTTGAATTTAGCCTTCTTCGCGCTTATTGTTAGTTTGTCCTGGCTATTCTGTTCCATGAGGTAATTCTCAATATCCGTATTGCTGATCATTTTGTTTATATGTTTCGGAATATCGTCTTCACAATTGGAAAGTGCATACATTCTTTTTAAATGATGTTATTGGAACGTTTGTTCCTTTCGTACTGATCGTTTTGTAAAAAATGATTACACAATTATATAATTATGTGTGATATCATTTTCCCCTTCCCTTTCATTCTCTCGTTTATACATGTATTATATATGTATTTATATATGTTATATGTAACATATATATTAATAGTTTAGGTAATATATATGTTTATATACGTATATTAATTGTACTGAATGAATTGATTCAAGATATCTTGCAACTGTTGCAATAATCCATCTCTCGAACATTCAGTGTTAAGTATTTTTTTTATACTAAATTTATTCGCTTTTGTCACGATTCTCTTGAATTCGTTGCATTGGTAAAATTGTTGTTTCTTAGCCAAATAAATATTACCATCCATATGTCGGAAAGCCATGGTTGGAGAGTGGTATTCCTGGAAATATTGATTGTAACGTTTAATATACATTAACAGTCAGAGTACATTCGTCTATTTGCGCCACATCGTTATCATCGAAGATTACGTAGGTTTGTCCTTGTGAGTATTTATCGCGGTATTAATTACAACGTTTGGGGGAAATCCCAAATTTTTTAGATGTTTCGGCCAGCCTTCTTTTAATTTAAAACTGGGATAATTGACCATATAAACCATATCATTTATAAATAGTACTATTTCACCCGAGGGTCTTTGGTACGCGGCTGACAAAGAGAAATTTTTTGGGAGGAAATTCATGTAAGTATTTAGCTCAAATGGACCGTCATATTCGTTATCATTTATATTTATCGACCATACGTAGCCTTGATACGTGACGAATATTCGATGATTTAATATTAATATAGTATCCACATATTGTAATTCACAGAGATCTATTTTATCAGGCTTATTTGTTGGAATTTTAGGAGACGTTGATGGTGGTTTTATAGTAGTAGTAGTAGTTCTTCTTATAGTAATAGTAGTTGTTGTTGTTATTCCTGGTTTGTTACTTCCATATAGATACTTGAATCGCTAAAATATCTTCTAAGTTGAGTTTAACAGTTGTATTAGTATTTTTAGCAAACGCAAACATTACGGATCTTCGCACGAACTGTGTATTAGTCCTAACGAATGTCCGATTTCATGTGTTAACGTATGAAGTAGACGTTCCGAGTTGAAAGGTATTTTATCGTCTAGGTATATGTGCCAGACTTCTGCATTGTCAACATGTATTTCGGTGGTGTAATTAGGATTGCGTGAAGGATAAAACGTGTGAGCAAGTACTCCACCACGACCGTCGAATGAAGAGGGGCAAATTTCTGCATTACGTTTGTGATCAACATATGTGTGAGTACCACTACGGTAAGATATTAAAATGTCAGGGTTTAATATTTTACGCTCGAATGTTAAGGATGAATTTGCTGCCCATAACGAGAATGCGAATGCTGTAGTTTTTAAGACATTTGCATTTGCCAAATGAAAGTTCCACGTAAGATTTATTTTCATCCATTTATGTATACCTGTATTGTGCTCATGATGTGGAATATCTGGGAGACCACATCGTGGTTTACGCATTTGATGTAACGTATGATCGTTCAATGTACCATCACCTTGTATTTGATAATATTCTTGAAACAATGAAATAGCCTGTTTAATTTTTTCACTCCCGATCGATAATTGGTATTATTCCCAATGTTATTTAAATAACCATACTTTTGCAGATATAGAATTATTTCTGTATTTATACCTTGAGGAGAAGAAGGAGAATTTATCGTTGTAGTCGTTGCCATTATAGTTTTAACAATGGTAACAAAAATGATGATAAACACAATAGACATTATGGTATATAAAATGATGTACACTGCAAGACGAATGAATTACTTCTGCGATCTTACATATGTACATATGTATTCTCAAACGATACTATTGTACGAGTATCTATTTAAAAAGGAAAGGGAAGATGAAATCATGAGATATAAATAAAGTGTATGGTATTATATATTTGATAGTATGAGTCATACATATAAGTAGAATGTGTTGCAATAACACAGTAGCGTGAAATTATAATATTTATTTATGTTACGTCCAACCCTGAGTATTGGCGAGAGAGGAAGATGGAGAAGGTACGGAAGGACGGTTGACTCAATCTCACAGGTATACGCACGGAAGCATACAGGTGTGAGTTGTTAGCACTCTTTTAAAGTCCCAGAATGAAGGTCAACGTCCTGAAGGGACGTTATGACACCTGTTCCGATGGACAGTGCGAACGTTGGTCCTACTTTTTAGGTCAAGGAACTTAATCCTTTTGACCTGGGATTGGATCTCGTGCAATCTTAGGCGTTATAAGGAACGGGATACGAGTGGGGCGATTTAAAAATTACTCGGAGGAATCTTTAGTAAAATTTTAAAAACTATTTATTTCAATAAGACTAGAGCTAATTTACATAATTAAGCTAAGTCTAGTTACAATGATCTTAAAATTGTGAGTAAGCGTGTGTAGCGTTTTCGTTGATAACAAATTTTATGTGTGCGTGCGTGTGTGCGTGTGTATGTGTAGGAGAGGAGGAGGTGATTATTAAGTGTTGGTGGCAAGGAAGGAAGTCCATGGACAGACAGGGATTAGGTGTCTCAACTGGACGAGGAAAGGGGAGGAATTTCCAGGGACGTAAACTGTGATCAGTCTGTCCCCTTCGTTGGAGGTGGATGCGAACAACTGGTATCCCAATCGGCAGATTGAGGATCGGGGTGGACAGGAGGGGGAGTTGGGAGCTGATTAAAGGAGGAAGGGAGAGTTGGGAGCTGGTCAAGAAGGGAAGGAGAGGGAAGGAATCGTTCCTTGAAGGGCGGGGGAGAGTAATCGAGGATCTCGAGGACGCCAGGGTCGAGGATTGGAGGGATTGTCAGGTCGAGCGATTCTGTAAGTGTTGGTGTGGGCGAATACGACACAGGTGTATAATTAATCGGGTCTTCAAGAGCTAGTGGTGTTAACGGAGGTACCCTTTTGGGTGACCGC